TATTACTTATTATTGTAAGTCACCATTAGAAAGTACTAAGGAACAAGGTTTGGACGAGAACTTTGAGGTACCTGGGAAAGATTTGATATCTAGGACACCGGTAGTTGGCTTAGAATTGCCAAAGGTTGAACTCCCCTTCTTCGATGGTAAACACCGTGATTACTTTAGATTTGTAAAGCAATTTGAAACGTTTATAGAACCTAGAGTTATGGATGAAAATCTGCGTTTATTGTATTTAATTCATTACTGTAAGGGAAAGGCGAGAAATGCGATTGAAGGATGTCTTATAACGGAACCCCACGTGGGATATAAAAGAGCTAAGGCAATTCTAAAGCAGCTCTTCGGACAATCGCATGTAATAAATTGTCATTGACAGATACACATACATTTCTTTCTAACTAGATGAACTTATTATGCTAGAAATAAATTATAATACTGTTAAATAGTATAAACTCTTCTTATGAATTAGAGAATCCAACAACTTTGACACCATGTCAACCTGTTTGCATATACACCTCGTGCTGAATTTATTGGCCTGTGATTCTCCAATGCACTTTCATAAATTCTTTGGCTTACAGCATACCACATCGACTTGTCATTTACTCAGGAGCACTCTGGATCTATACCTGCGATCTGGAATTAATTTTCCTATGCCATCCTAAATGTGGATAAATTTGAATCAGTAAATGTGCACATTTATGAAAATAGCAAGTAATCTGAATCATAAATATATTTGTTTTGCAATCTACTAGCTCATTTATCTGAGTATTGCTGAGTCCAGATATTTTCGTGTTTCTTCTAGTTCGCTACAACTTTAGATATGCTGCCTCAGGAATCAACTAAGTTGTAGTTGACCAAAATCATTCCCTTAGATCATCCTCTTCTAAGGCAGGTTCTGGCTACTTATATTCATTACTGGTGTTTAAGACGAACGAACACTTTAGACATAGTCAAACAGGTTTCATTGTTCGTGTACTTACCTCAGGTTTTTGGAACCTTTGCTTGCATTATTTTTTACTCTTGACTAACGACGACTACAGTTTCACTGCGTTTTTGCAAAGTAAATTTAGTTTATTATTCTTTATGCATGTATCTGAACCAACTTCGTCGATATGCACCAAAATGCGCTCGGAAGCATTTTTCATCAATTGCCTAATTCTAAACTACTCAGATAAATTGTTGGATTAATTTTGGGGCTCTTAAGTTTCATCTTCAGTTTTTTATCGCTCTCTGAATTTCAATACGATCAGCATATAATAAGATTGATGATTATATGAAATTAGGAGAGTCATTTGAATCCAACAGCGGACTTTGAAGGTTATATATCGTTTTGCGTGTAGTTCGTCACTGTATCACTTTGTGGTCTTTTAAACTTGAGGGCAATTGTATAAAATGGTGAGGACTTCTTTATCTGGACGCCGTTTTATCTAATTAGACATTTTACCCGCAGCTTTTTATTCCATGCTCATAGTGCCCTAGAAATATTGCATTCAACCCTACCTCCAGTATCCAGTATCTTCTTCACGAGCTGGTGCAAACCAATTTGATTTCTTCGCGCTCGATTCTTTTTCTCTCGGTACGGTTCCAGGTGTTCGGTAATGTCCAATGGATGGAGGTCTAGCCACTCGACTATCTAATTCTAGTCAGTCGGAGGTTGGTTGTGAGTTTGTATGTCTCGTGGTTTGGATGATAACGTTTCTTTCA